GCTACGTATTGCTATACGCCATCCGAACTTTTTGTTATTTGTTTGACTATAAACTTAAAATTTCCTTTCAAAATCGCTGTTTTAACGAATAATTCTTATCTTTTTTAATCACAATTCTAAAATGTTTTGTTTAATTTTAATAAAACAATTATCTGTAAACTTGGGCATTTCGTAGTAAAGATGTCACGACCTCACACATCTATTGTTGTAGTTCCTTGAAAAGCTATTAATCATTAATCAAAACAGCATCGAAGTTTCTTTGCAACGAGCACTAAATGGAGGTACCCTTATGTTTCGAGGCTTAAATCTTGGGAAAAACGTTTCTTTTCAAATAACTGTACTTTTAATATTCCTTACAGATTCTATAAGTACTTAACTTGGATTATACTTTTCCTCCTCCTTTATTTTAGGGTTATTGTCCTTTTCATATTATTATTCTTCGAATTTTTCATAGTTTAAGTAAATTTCTTTGTTTTTATGAATTAAAGATTTTTACAAATTTTTAATATTTTTTATGATAATCGATTACATCCTCGCCACAAGTCCTTCCCTGTCAGTTTTTAAATATAAATTGCGACATTTTAATCAGTTTTTATTATTAATATTATTATTATTATTAAGCTAATGCATAAATCTTTTTCAATTATCTTTTCAATAATCGTACAATCAGAGTATTCGCTCATCATCAGTGGCAGCAGCAACTCGCCCCATAGTGGTCAAAGACAGGAGGTATTTTTACGGTGTTGAGTTGTCAGCTCCGACGGCCAATGCTCTACAGTCATATTGAGCTGGGACCTACGATTTAAAAAAAAGTAGATTAATTCAGAGCATTAGTTCCTAAAAACTTTCGTACAAAACACTTTTTTAATTAATATTAATTAACATTAACACAAACATTTAATATTACACTAACATTAATATTAACTCAATATTAACACTAGCATTTAAATATTAACACTAACACTTTTAATTAATATTAACGCTTGTAATTAATATAAATTGTGACATTTTAATCAGTTTTATTATTAACATTATTATTATTATTACAATGCATAAATGTTTCTCAATTAAACAATTTTTTAATGCAAAGCAACAATGTTTTCAATTTAAAAATTTTCATGCAAAACACTTTTAATTAATATAATTAATATTAACAATTAACATTTAATATTACACTCTAATATTGACATCACTTTTAATTCATATATTAACACTTTTTAATTTAATAATACAAATTGCATTATTTTAATCAATTTTATTGTGTAGTTGTTTCTTATCCCACTTAGCAGACATTTAGGCCAAGCCCACGAGCCCATACGTACTCCATAATTGAAGGAAGGAAGCAGCTTCTGTTGTGATGGAGCACCCGGAGGTAGAAGCCTGACTTTGACTCCGTGACGCTCTTACAGTCATATGACCGGGACCTACGGCTTAAAGTGGATTCCGAACCACTACAAACATCCATGCTGCACCGCCGGGATCTCCTCGAACCCGAAACCTGTGGCACCGAGCGCCAGAGCACCAGACACTCGGCCATCAGGTCACCTTGAATTGCCAACGGCACGCGGTGTTCCTAGGTGGTCACCGTCCTGGTACTGGCTGCAATCGCCGATGCAAGATGCTTGACTTCAGTGATCGAACGAGAACCGGTATATTCAGCATGGTATAGCATGGTTTATTTTTATTAAAGTTATTGTTATTATTCTTATTAAACAATGCATAAATATTTTCAATTATACATAACGTAATCAGAGATACCATCATCAGTGGCGCAAATCGCCCCATAGTTGGCCAAGGCCGTCTGCTTACTGGCAAATTCTCGAGGAGAAGTTGTTTTTTATAGTTTAGAGTTGTTGTTTACGCTATTGGGGTGTCTGCCCTTACGCCAACACTCTACAGTCATATTAGACGTAGGACATACGGTTAAAAGTTCATTAATCAGATACTAGTCTAAATATTTTCACATACTAATATTATTATTACCAATATTTTTACACTAATATTAATGTTAACACTTTTAATTAATATAAATTACGACATTTTAATCAGTTTTATTATTATTATTATTATTATTAAGCAATGTATAAATGTTTCAATTAAAACAATTTGTTAATTCAACTCACCAATGTTTTCAATTAAACAATTTTATTAATTCAACGCAACAACAATGTTTTCAATTTAAAAATTCATACAAAACACTTAATTTAATCTTTGTTAAAACTGAAATAGCAACTTTTCCCCAATAGTTTCTTATTTTGATGTTGATTTCTCTTATCCCACTTGGTAGATCTCATGGAAGGAGGGAAGCGCAGCTTCTGGTGTGATGGAGCACCCGTAGGTAGAAGTCTGACTTGGTCCCAGACGCTGACTTTTTATACGGCACTACCCCCACAAAGTTCTACAGTTCTGTTAGACCGGGACCTATGGCTTAAAGTGGTGTCCGAACCACAGCAAACACCCATGGCACCGCCGGGAGTCGAACTCAAAATAGGTCGCATTTTGCATTGAAATGAAACTTCCCTTTAAACCAATGTATTTAAAATTAATAGAAGAACTAAAAAATATATAAATTTACAGCAAAAACATCTCCTTAAAAATAATTTTAAAATATATAAAAGATATGCTTGATTAGATTTTGCTAATGCAGCGGGCAACTTTAGAGACAGTTATCGTTACGCCATGTGTATTTCACCGCCGTTACTCCTTTACCACTACCCAGAGGGGGACGTGCAGATATATTTAATTACGCGAGTAACACCCTTGCAACGCTCTCACGGTCGTATAGACAGGGACCTACGTTTTAAAGATTCCGAACCTACTGCAAGCATTTATGGCACCGCAGGGACTCGAACTTTTAAACCTGTGTACCGAGCTTCCGCCAGAGCACTATCCACTGTCACATTTCAGGCCCCCTTGCTCATCCATCCTTTCTAGAATTTTTCGCTGCTACTACATTTATGCTATTTTTTAACCGATGGGGTTTCCAAAAATAGTTCAATTCTTATAATCCTCCCAAATGTTTTGATTTTATTAACTAAAATTTATTTATTTAAATTAATTATTTTTATTAACGGAAAATGATATAAAAACTATTACATTTTTCGATAGCTATGTAGTTACACGCAGTATTGATTATAAAAAAAAGTATTGCATAATTTTGACAATTGATTGATAAGATTTATGAATTTTCTTTGAAAATAGGTAGAACAGAATCACAATTCATAAGTAAATGTCAACTGCCAATTTTACATTACATCATAAACTCTCAAAAGAATAGCTATCAAAATACAAAAATATCTCAACAACTGGTTTATGTCAATATAAATTATTAAACAAAATAAATAAATTCTGAAAAATGTAACTGAATAATATAAAAATTCGAGTAGTACATATTTGTGAAAAAATTGACTTTCTGTATATGATTTTTAACGATTCTTTTATAAAACATATAAATATATTCGTATGTCGTATTATTTGTCAAAATATAAGGCTAATAAAAAATCTTTAATTTTTGTATTATTGTATTTTACTTCTGCGTTTAACTAATCCAATACTACGTTTAACTTCATGTTATCGAAAATGTGAATGTTTTTATATCATTTTTATCTAATTTTTTAATCTACTTAATAAATTTTGATTTATAATTGATTCGATTCATAACTATCGACAATAATGTTTTTTTTCCTGATAAAATTAATAAAATAAATGTTTAAAAATAAAAATAAATTTATTCTTTTTTTTTTTTTTTTTTTGCCTTTTTCATTCTTGCTTAATTATTCTATTTAAATTGTCACAACAGCACTAACCTTTGCATAATATTTTGAAACACGTATTAAATTAATAATTTATCTAATAAATTCTTTGTAATTCTTTTTATTTATTTATTATTTATTTATTTGTTTTTATTTATTTATTTTATTTTTATTTTTTTACCTTTTTCTTTCTTGGTCAGTTATTCTATTTAAATTGACACGACAACAGCATTAAAAATTGCCACGTGACCAAATTGAAGTTTTTTTCATAATATTTTGAAACACGTGTATTAAATTAATAATTTATCTAATAAATTTTTTTTTTAATTATTTTATTTATTTACATTTATTTATTTATTTATATTAAATATTTTTATTTATTTTTATTTATTTATTTATTTATTTATTTATATTTATTTTTTTATTTTTTCAATTCCTTCTATTAGTTCACACCGTCCCTATATATATCTTGTTCAAATTTTCAATAGTTCATAAAATACTTTTTATCTTCGTCCACCACAAATTCAATGCAATTTTTTGAACTTGTAGTGGATGACACTGGATGTGAATGCAGTTTTTTTTCAAATATTCATTCAGTCATTAAATTAAATTAATCAATTTTAGTTTTTTTAGATTTAAGTTGCATATATCTACCCATAGATGAGATAAACTTTAAAAAAATAAAAAATTATTTATAAAGGACTTTCTACAATAAAGGAAAAAAAGAAGGAATTGACTTAAAATTTTTTTTTTTTTTATTACTTGTTTATTTATTTATTTTATTTTATATTTTTATTTTTATCTTTTCATTCCTCATCAGTCAATCTCATTTAAATTGCCACATGACCAAATTGTGGTCTTTAGTTAATATTTTATCTAATAAATTATTTTCTAATTCTTTTATTTATTTTTTTATTTTTATTTTATTCTATTTTTTCATTTTTATTTTATTTTATTTTTTATTTTTCTATTTTAAATTTTTATTTTATTTTATTTTTTATTTTTATTTATTTATTTTATTTTTTTATTATTTAAAAAAAAAAAAACAACAGTGAGTTTTAACATCATCAACCACAAGGGGGACTCTGCAGCTGAAAAGCAAACTTAAAAAACAGATCTTTAAAAATAATATTTTCATAAAAATTTTATAATAATTAATAATATATATATATATTTTTTTTTTATGGAATTGTGTAATATATTCATTGAATAAACAAACTCACTCAAAATAAATATCGACTCATGTCAAGTTCCCTCTTATTTAGCAAAAAAAAAAATTTTATTCAATATTGTGAAAGACACATATTTTTTTTTTCACGTTGGCTACAATTTTTAAGAGTACTCACTAATACTTTGGCAGATGTCCACCACCAGATGCCTGGAATTTGAATCTGTAACAACATTTTTAGAATGTTTAATTTACTTTTGCATGTTGTTTAATGTTTAATTTACTTTGCATGTTGTTTAATGTTTAATTTACTTTTTACTTATTTATTACTGCAATCCTTTTTAAAAAATAAAAGCATTAATTTTTTAGCTATCACCCTTACTAATCACCTTAAACTTCTCAAAAACTGGTTCAATAAATGGAAAATTTCTTTAAATATATATAAAGCTGAAGCAGGTTTAAATATATATAAGGCTCGGTACCGCAGGTATCTAGTTCGAATCCCGGTGTGCCATTGTAGTGTTTCCAATCCATTTTAAACCGTAGGTCCCGGTCCTAATAGGATCGTAGAGCGTTGTGGGGGTAGTGCTTACTCGCGTCCGTAGCATAACTTCAAGCTACATGCCTCCTGGGTAGTGCTAAATGAGTAGCAGCGGTTCAGCCTTTGCTTAAGGCAAAGGATTAACTGTCTGCATTGCCAGCTGCATTAGAACAACAATAACATACAAGGCTGAAGCTGTTCTCTTCTCTATTGGAAATAAACTTTAAAAACCCTGTGATCAACAATACCATTATACCCTTGAAAATGGTCAAATAAATATTTAGGAGTTATTCTGGACCAGCATTTAACTTGGAAACAACATTTTCTGCGCACGAGAACTAAACTTCGTATTGCCTTCAGAAAACTCTATCCACTTATAAATAGAGGTTAAAATCTAGGATCCTGCCCTTTGTGCCAAACACATCGCCAAGTTGCCAAGTCGGTAAGTAAGCATAGAAATGAATGGGCCAGGTAGTTTGCGCGGTAAAAATGATATTACGCCAAAATCTTTTACTGTGTTGCCAAATCGCCAAGTAAACAGACAAAATGGTTGCCTAAGTTCGGTGTCATTGTAAAGTGCTATTTCGCCAAAATTTATAGCTAAACAGTGCTTTTACGCCAACATAGCAGCCAAATAGCTATTACGTCAAAGTTTATTCCTGCTTTGAAGCCAAAGTTTATCACTTTAACGCCAAATAACGCCACTATCCTATATCGCCAACATTTATCGCTTTTTATAACCATTTTTCATTCAGCCATTTTTTTGCAAATTTTGTTATATAACTTCTTTTAAACCAAAAAATGCTTTATCGTCAATATTTATCGCTTTATAGCCAAATTTTTTCACTAAGTGAATCTTGTTTTTTGGGGCGCTTTTACGCCAAAAGTTGATGCTTTATCGCCAAACTTTATCACTAAAATTTTTTATCTCTGGAATACTTTTTGCGCCAAATGAAACCGCTTTTACGCCGAAATTTAGCGCTATTATGGCAAGAAAATTATATCTAAAATGCCTTTACGCCAATTTATATCGCTTTATTTTTACCACTATTATGTCAACTTTTTAACGTTTTCTTTTACGCCACACATTGCCGCTTTAACGCCAAAATATATCATTATTTTGTCAACATTTTATTCCTAAATTGCTTTCACACCAAATTAAATCGCTTTATCGCCAAATTATTATGTGGAATTTTATTTTGCTAAGT